CCGTGGGCCACCGCAGCTAGTTGTCAGTGAACTGCAAATGCTGTTGGTGTCAACACTAGACCCAGGCCAGTATGTTCTCCCCGTGAAGTATTCGTATTGAGCTTTTTTTTTTAATGGAAATAATGTCCACTTTATTGAAAGCGCATCACCAGTCCCCACATGCTGTTGGTACTGCCTTGGTGTCTGTAACATCCTTCCTTCTTCCCAAATTCAGAAGTCCGTTCATAATAATAATAGGAAAACTATTATTTTGGAGGGGATGAGGAGGGGAGAGGGACAAGAAGGAAATATCGTCTGTGCTGCTGGTGTGATTAATGTGACCGATTATGATAAAGGAAATGAAAACTAGAAATCTGGGTAAGTAATGGTCTTTCCAAGAGAATTAATTTCCCTGGAACCGTGGTGCAAACTTGTATGCTGACCTCCCTTAAATTACTACTGAAGTTTTCAAAACAAAGCAGGGATGGCACTGAAAATTTTGCTCTCTGGTTGTTTCCTAGCTGCACAGACTTTCCAGTGATAGTAAGAGGGGGATTCACTGGAAGATGCACACATGCCATCACTTTCCTTTAAAATCAGAGATGCTTCAGTGACAGATTTGAGTAAATGTGCTTAAGAGGCACATTTAACACTGTCCGTTAAGCATGGGTGCACTGGAGAAAGGCTTCACCCATATTAATCGTCATGCACATTGCTTTGTGGGCAAAGGATGCTCAGTGGGAGGAACAGGACTAGCCATATTTTTGATGAGGATAAGAGCTTAATATTGCAGCTTTGGAAAGACTGGTTATCCATCTGCCAGACATCTGTCTTTGACTGGGGTACTTACTTGGCCTCAGTTATTACAGAATGTAACCGCTTCACAACCATTAATGTCTTCTCCTCCTCCCTGTGGAGTTGGGAAGTGCCGTTACCTCTGTTGCAGAACTAAGAAGTGAGTTTAAGGGTCAAATTTGTTATGGCATTTAGGTACTCAATGGGATTTTCAAAAATGCATGACACCTGTTAAGTCGATCCTGGGCACTTTGGTACTTTTGAAAATCCCATTGCTTGTCTCTTTCCTTTTAAAATTTTTGCATCATGTGGTAATCTGGGATCTGTAGTAAAGCTGGGAACTGAACAAAGGTTTCTGTGTTGCAGGCTGTCACCCAGGCCAGAAGACTAGCTCTTCATGCACCTATTAGGGTACTGATAGGTGGGACAGGAGCAACTTTATGGCACTGGGAGAAAGTAGCAGATCTAGGTCCTGAATTCATCAACAATATTTGAAAAACAGTATAACTCTATGGGTAGCAGCAATGTTGCCCTCCCTTCACAGAGAGGTCAGAATCAGGTCCTCAAAGTCCTGGAGCAAAAATAAGCACCGCCTATGGTCAATAAAAGGGCTTATGTGCCAATTACTGGGATGGAAAATTCAAGAGCAGGCGCAAATAATGAAACAATCTATATTCATGCAGCCACCTTTCTAGCCTGCCGCTGTAAGTACAGGCTTACACCCAGACTGGAGATGTGAATCCTACTGACAGCCCCAGAGTACCATACTGGAAAACAAATGTTGATTTTGAACAAATTATCTGTTCATCGCTAAATCATTTTCTTTCATTATTAGTCTCCAAATTGGTTCTGCTCTGGAAGACAGAATTAGGTTTAAAAGCAGAGTGTCTCTTAAACACTTGCTTAAAATGAAAAAAATATTTGGTAAACATTACTCAATCCCCCTAGAGCATAAACTCCTCAACTGCTTTCTCTGCCTTTGCATAGATTTCCCAGCTCCTGGTTTTAGACAGATGTCTCAGGGATTCATTCAGGAAATCAAAAAATAATTAAATTAAAATAAATCTCTTACAGTCATATGTTCCTCAATTGCCAAGGAAAATTTTATTAAGATCTTTCTGTCCTCACTTACAAAAAAGTCCTGTGCAGGCAGATGGAGTTACACCAACATCAAACAGGTGTAAGAGAGAGAAGAAGGCGGCTCCAAGCCCAGAACATAACTACAAAATCATACAGACTTTTAAGCACAAGTTTCTCATCACTGAAAGAGCTATACTTTGCTGTTATAGCACTTGAACTCATTTCCATAATTTTAAGGTTCTTAAAAAAAATTGGGCTTTAAAATGATTTTTTTAACATTAAAGGGATGGTGTTTAGTCAATTCAGCATGTCAGCAAGATTGCAGCCATCTGAGCTAATGATGTAGAATGGCAGAGGCAGGGTTAGCTCACCTAACATTTGAAAAACGGACATGCTGCTGCATGGAGCATGGTGGGTTACGGGGTGGCAGCAAAGCCCTGGGCATGTGTGACTGTCCCATGTTACACCTGTGACTTCTAGGAGATGCTCAGGATGGACATTTGTGTCTCCATGAAGCAGAAATCTCTGTAGGGATTAGGATGTGTCTAAAACTGCATAGCTTTTCATCAGTATTTTTAAGATGTTGTTATCCTCCCTGTAGGTTTCAGCTGGGAGGAGGAGGGAGAACAACTCAGTCACTTTGTACGTAGGACTAAAACTTTAGGAAAAAATGTTATCTAATAGACTTCCAGGTACTCGTTAGGTTGTTCAAAGGATGAATTTAACTCATTTTGATGTTACGGGGATCTGTGTGCACAGGGGAAAGTACACAAGCAGAAGGTCCTCTTCTGGTACATCCAATTTAGGATAAGATCCTCTTGTTTTTCCTGTTCTCCACACTCACCTCTAAAGCCCTGTTGTGGGAGTGGAAAGCTGCTACTCTAAAGGGCAGGAACTGAGTGCTCCTGCAAATAAGTACGTTTGCACTGTGGTGTCTGAACGCTTGTTTTGCACTTAAAGGATTTATTTCTCAGTGGGCAGAAGAGCTGCAAGATTAACAGATGAACAAATGACAAATGACAGCCATGACATCAAAGAGTCACCTGGCCGTAGTTCTCAGGGATTATTTTATCTGCAGATTAGCTCAACTGTCTGGGATTGTGGTACATCCTCTAGTGAATTTAGCTGTAGTGACTGAAAGCATTACTGGCCCCTTCTGTCTTCTTTTTTTCTCCAGAGGATCCTACCTCTGGAGCAGAGACAGTAGATGGGAATGTATGCCTGTGTCTCAGCCGTTATAGTGCAGATCCTTGGGGGTTTAGTGCCAGCAGAGGATCCTTAGTGGTTCAGAGTGGGCACCGGCTTCTGAGCTGCACCCCAAAATATGAGAAAGTGTTGTGTCTCGGGGCACCGGCTTCTGAGCTGCACCCCAAAATATGAGAAAGTGTTGTGTCCCTGGGCAGAAATTTCTGTGACATGGTGGGGCAAACAGTGCGTCAAGTCACCATAAATAAAGCCACCATAGTGCATGTATCAGAGCCCTAAGATCACAGGCAATGACTATTTTTACCATAAGGAAATTCTAACAGGTGTTGGTAGGGCAGTTGTTGCAATTGGAAGGTCAGAGGGAATCATACCCCAATGCCAGTCATTTTTAGCAGGCTTTTTCTCCTTCATGCGGTCTATAATTCAGTCAGGGGGAAAAAAAAAAAGTGAGTAGCAGCAGTCAGCCTTAGGTTCCTCGTACAGGAAACAGCCAAAGGGTGATAACAGTGGAGGGGTCAGAAGAAGGTGTCTGTAGGATGTGCCCTCCCTGTGGAGAGCAAACACATAGCAGCTCAGAAAGACTGTGCAGATGCTGCTAACTGTGAGACCCCGCTCACTCCTTGTACTGCGTACACCTTAGTTCCTCCCTGAAGATTAGACTTAGTTGAGTCAGGCAGGAAATTACAGATAAGTTTGGGATCTTGAGGGAAACATGTTTGAAAACCAGTGAGATGAAAACACCAACAAGAGGCAAGACATAACTTGAAAAGTGCCATACAGAGGGAACTGTGCCTCTGCTTTATTGAACTGCTGGCTGCAATAAATACAGCTGAATTCCCTCAGTTCCCCCATAACGTTATCTCAGTACCAGCAGGAGTCCATTTAAGAATACACTTGCACAAATGAATATATATAAAGAGCAGAGAAACAGCTGAAGTGCCACTGCAGTAACACAAGCAAATCCAAAAAGACACCTAAGCATGCTTAGTGGTTGTGTGCTGCCCTTGTGCTTTAGTTTTGTCCGTATGCTCACTGCTGCCTGCCCAAACCATTCCTGCAAAGCAGAGGATTTTCCGTTAAAGTTCCCCTGCCCAGTTCATCTGGTGAGATCATCGTCTAGATCCTGCAGTGATACAGTAAATAAATTGTAGTGGATCAACTAGGAAGACAATCCTGAGAGCTTTATTATGAAAAACTTCTGAGATTCACATTCTGAGACTTTATAATGAAGAAGAGACAAGTATAATATGAGACTTATGAATGGGTAATCAGCAACAAAGAGTGAACCTTGCACCTTGAAATCTTAAAGCGTTAACCTCGATGGTGCCTGAAGTAAAAGAGTTGGCTGTGTTAGTCAGCGCTAAATTAGAGTTGACAGATCTCTATATGACTTATCCACCATTAGGAGGGGTCAAAGCCCTGCACAGGAGGGCCTGGGTGTGAGTAGTGTGATGTGAGCGTAGGACTAGAGGCCAGCAATCATTGGGTGTTAATCTTTCTTTTCATCGGTTTTCTTAGATGTCATTAAACATTTCTATACCATTACAGGGTGTCATGAGGTTTCCAGGGCATTTTCTTTAAGGGCATGTCTCTGTGTGTAGGTGTACTGCTTCGGTAGTAACCCTAGCGGGTATTGCTTAGTTAGAAATCTGAGCTTGTATATGGGCCAGTTGATTATAGGGAAAGCTTATTGCACTTTGCATCTTGTTCCAGCATTTACAGCATAGCAAAGTTGACACGCAATGCTATCAGATTGGACTAGTGATGTGTTTTATCCATTATACATTAATTCTTTCCATTGACTAAAACGGGCTTAGATTGGAAATTCATTAGATGCCTAAGGTGCCTTGCAACGGCCACTCAGATTTTGCAAGAAGGCAACCTAAAATTAAGTGTGACTATTCAACCCACCAGGTTCTATAATTCTTTTTCTGTTACAGACTTGAGTCGCCTACGCGCGCGTTGGTGATGGAGGCTCCAAAAGGCATTGAGATCAACGCCGAGGCTGGCAGCTTGAAAGCCACATGCAGGACGGAGCTCAGGCTGGAATCCAAAGATGGAGAGGTAGGCAAAGGACATCAAGCCCTACAGCAAAAACAAACCAAGCCACACACCTGCCCATTTATAACCTTCTGATTCACTTAGGAGCTCCCTTTGAAATGCTGGTTTAAGAACAATGGTGCAGCGGGCCTTCATAGCTTAGTTTCTGCTCACAGTGAGTGAACTCACCATATGCAAACACAATTCTCTTTGTGGAGAAGGCTGATTCATTATTTTTAAAGTGCTTGAATAATAGCGTCTGTTGTTCAAGCAGATTTATGCAGCTGTAAAATACTTAGTACTCCTGAATTTTCTGTTTCCTTGTCACTTTAAAGCAATATTTACTTTGCCAACATAATTAAGTCTTATATCATAGATTTTTCTATAAGAAGAGCTTAACTCACCTGTACTGATCTGAAAAGCTTTTGTAGCTGATGTTTTCATTCTGGAAAGAAAAGGAACTTTAGGAAACACAGGCTATCACACTGGGGAAACTTCCAAAGGGGAAGAGAGAATAACTAAAAACTGTATCACAGAACAAGAGTAAAATGGTTTTGATTTAAGTCTTTTCTCAAAAATACATGTGCACACAGTTCTCATCCTCTCCTCCCTCCACAACAATGGAAGACACGGAAGGATGTGGCTGAGAAACACACTGAGGAGCCCAGCAAGAGCCTTGCCAGAAAAATACTTGTGTTGAATATGAGCCTCCTAGCAATAGGCTGCCAAGATTTCCTAATGATTTCCTGTCTTTATATCAGGTGTCATACATAAAATAGGAGTTCTATTGCAATTCCCTTTATTGCTGTAAGTTAAAATAGTCCAAGCCCAGACTAGAGGGGAAAAAAAAACCACCCTGGAATGACAGACTGCAATTGAAATCCAGGACATTTCACTACTGCAAACAATTGCCTTAATATTTTTAACACTAATTTACTTTTAAAATGCATATATTGACCTGTCTCTTTGAGGCGATTAGATGGTTGGATACTAAAACTGAAGTGGAGACTCTTACTATAATTGCAAGATAAGAGCAGATACTGTCAGTCACCCTATAATATTTTTTTCTGCAGGTTATCTTACTGTGCTCTTCTCTGTAACATTAGAGCACTTTCCTGTAGCTGCCATGTGTCTAAAAGCTGCCACATGTTCATTTTAGCTTTCTGTTCCGTAAGGAGAAATTCAGGCAATTGTTGGTCTGTTGCAGCATTGCAGTTATTCTGAACACGCATAAAAGTGCTCTCCACAGTCAGTGCTGTGAGCCTGCAAGTGTAAACACAAATGAGAACCCAATGCCAGAAGTGCCAGCGGAAGAGGGGAATTGTTGTTGTGTGGATGTGAACTGTACACACTTCCCCAGTAGCAACAGGGGCGCTTACGGTATGCTGCTGGGTGCTGTGTGAGGAAAGTTAATCCAAACACCGAGGTGCCTCAGGAAGCTACGAGGCCAAGAAAACACAAGAGGTAAATTAGCAGATAAAAAACAGAGGTTTTAAAAGGCTCAAGGTAAAGACAGGTAATATCCTTACCCAGATTTACATCAGACTTTTCCCCTTCTTCCACGCTTAATACACTTGCTTGCTCAGTTCAGTTTCTAGCACCTCAGTTTTCCAAAAGAAGCTTCTTTAAACAAGGTCAAAAAGAACAGCTCTCCACTAATGCGCTCTTTCTCTTTCTCTCTTTCCCCTTACAACTTCAGATAACGTTGAATTCTGCAAAAATCAAACTACCTAACTTGCCTCAAGGATCTTCCTCTTCTGCAGGGTCCAGGCAAAAAATCTACGAGCTCTGTGTGTGTCCCAATGGGAGGTTATTTCTGTCTCAGGCAGGCACTAGCTCGACCTGCCAGATAAATACAAGCGTCTGCCTTTGAGAGACAATTTGCAGTGGGGCATCGCAGGCAGCACAAAAGCCAATTCTGGTCTCACAGATTGCAGCTGCCAACTATTTTTACTAGAACACAGAAAGCCTATCAAAGACTTTTTTTGTGTGTGCGCGCGTGTGTGTGTGAATATATATATAAAAATATATATATAAAATATATATATATATACTTTGTGTAAAATGATGTTTCAGTACAAGGAATCCCAGGGTGACCCTGTTACATTTGTGTAGCATTTTTCTTTCTCATGTCAAAATTTACTGATACAATCTGCTGAATTGAACTTGATGGACCCTTCTGTATTAAGATATTCTGACGATCACCCCTCGTTATTGATCATGTTCTCAGAGCGATGGGATTGCTGGCTCATCAAGAGCATGGAACCATTGTAGACCTAGCAGCATACAAAAGGGAGGGTAGCGTCTCTGATTACTTTTGCACCGTTAAATTGGTGGCTTGAGAAAAACGAAATAGCCTGACATGCTGTACTGATGGCCTAGAGTGATCCAAGATACCTGGGATTAAACTACACTCTATAATTCTCACCTGAAGTGGGGCTCCCTGCGAGGAAAAATGAATTTCATTGCCTTATTCTTCCCAGCCCTTGGCCAGGAGGAGAGTCCAGATCTTCTCACTGGAATAAATGTGTTATATGAAAGGAGTCTAGATTAGCCTGAACATGGCAAAGGATGTTATGTACTATTCAGATGGTACACAGTCAGTATGCGAAGGACTGGTATTTGGTGGTCTCTTAAGGGAGTCCCTTCCACTTCCCAAGTAGGAGTTTAACAGACCAAGGGAATTAACAAACACATGAAGGTCACTGTCACTGGGAGAAAAATTGAATCGAAGCCAACTTAGTTAACTTCCCTGAATCTTGCATTGAAGATCTCTGAAGAGGTTATGCTATTATCCAGCATCAACTGGAACACTAACCTAAAGACATTTCCACGTTAAGAAAACTAGTGATGTATTTAGTTTTTGGAAAGAAAATAAATTTAAAAGTTGCACTCAACAGAAAAATCCTGAACCTCCTTAGCTTACAGGTGTCCTGGATCACCCTACAATCACTGTGCTACCACTTTAATTTTGAAAAGATTTAACACAGCCTGTGAAGGTGAGAAAATTTAAGATTTGGACATCACCTATCTGTGAAACAGAGAAGTTCATACAAGCTAGAAGTGTAATCTAAACTTTGTGCTGAAGTTTATATCATCTTTCTTTTCAGGAAACGCAGTCTGAGGTAGCTTACATTTTATGTATGTTGCAAATATCAGAGACGCTGACAATGAAACAGATTTTTTTTTTTAGTAATTTATAAAGATTGTGACCAAGATTACTGGAAAGCAAGGGCTTTGGATACTGGTTCCTCTAGAACATGAGCCCCAAAACTTCTGTGATTGAACCTTTTCATGGGTGCTTTTTTTCCTTATTTAAGTCTAGGAGTCACTTATGGGCAGGATAAAACATGAGATCTGATCTGGTAACATTATTTCTTCTGTTCAGGTTTTGAAAAGTAATGAGGAGAGCCCGGATCATTGAATCCTGACCCATAATTGCATATAAAAATCCTTGAAAAACTAATGGGATAATAATCTCAAAAACGTCTAGGTCCCAGTAAATCTCATGAGGGCAGCAAGGTTTCTAAGTCACTGAGATGCTTTTGAAAACATCACCTCATGTGCAAATATGACAGATCTGTGCCCATCCTAATGGTATCTAAGAAAAGCTGGCATTCTTTAAGCAACTTTCAAGATAAAATGTAGCCAACAGAGAAATATTTGAAATAATTTAGCCAGTTTCTTTTTTACATATTTCCTTGTATTTTCTTGTGGTCTGAAGAGTACCAGGGTTTGGTGGGGTTTTTTTGTTTGTTTGTTTCTGTTTTTTAAATGAACAGTTCTAGTCTAATCCAAAGCTGACTGGACACAATTGAAAGTTTTTCATTGCCCTTCATGGGCTTTGGGTTAGATGTTGCTGCCTAACAAAGCAACACTCCTATAAAATTTATACCTGATAGAGGATTGGATGATCTACATTTATTTCAATAATGCTGTTAGATTAATTAACAAATTCAAACTCTCTGTTAATTAATGATTCCTGTAATTATTATGTCTTGAGTCAATGTTTGAATGCAAAGGGTCACCCAGGGTAACAATTGTATTGGGACACAGGACTATACCATCTCTGTTCAAAGAGGGGAATTGTGCCTATGCCTTAAGTCAATGCACTCAGCAAGGAGAAGCACATCATATTTATCTTGTTATTAAAACTAGTTTATTTGGGGGGAGGGACAAGAGGGTGTTGTCACCAGGTGTCTTAGGAAGTGGTTGTGCAACATAAAACAGATATTAATGAAATGCATTAAGACTGTAGGGGCACCTAGTGTGATAGAGATGTTTTTTACCATGTTAAATATAGCAAAACACTGTGTATGTTACCTCCGGGACCATGACTGAAGTCCCATTCATAGTCCTGCATTTACTGTAGAATTTTTCCCCTGTGTCATTTTATGTTGATCACAAACCTTATAGCAAGCACAGCCCAATTCATAAACAAATCCCATGTGCAGAAGTGCATGAGCCATTGGGAAGAAAAGCGCTGCAGGAAGAGTCCCTGGTGCAGAGAACCAGTTGCATAGCCTTCCCTTCCCGGAGAGTTTTAATGCTAGTGAGAAACACTGGTTTGAGCGCACACACTGCCTCGGGAAGGACAGTGTTCCCTCAGTCCCGTGTTGCACCCCGAGAGGCAGGGCGGCTCAGTCTCCATCCCCTCACCCTCTGGCTGCTCTGCGGAGGATTTCTATTCAAAAACAACCGCGTTTTGAGTGGCCAGGCTTGTCAGCTGGCTCTTGGATGAGATTATCACCTTCTTATTTCATGAAGGCCATGAAACTGCTTAAGGACATCTGGCCATATACCAGTTTTTTGTGGATGTCAATGGGAGAGCTGTTAGGGAAGAGCCTTACACATCTGTGCCATCTCTATAAGAGACTTTTTTGCAGAAAGCTTCTCTGAGGTGAATAAAGGGGCACTTTAATGTCAACAGAAATGAATTCCAGTTCCTTCAATATATTTTACAATGCTGTTTCCACCTTAAAAAGCATAAAATGATATGCTGTATCAGAAGAGAAGGGTCGATGTTACAGAGATTGATCCCATATGGAGACTTATAAATCATCTGAGCCTCACTTGAATTTTAAGGCCATGGTTTAGATGATGCCACATGCTCTTGGGTTAGCTACAGGATTAATCCCCTGCTGTACAGCAAGTGACAAACCAGAGCAAACAGGACTGCATGTCTGAGGTCCCAGGGAAGAAAAGGCATTTTGTTTAAAAAGTAGCAGGCAGATATATCCAGCTTTCTCATGCTTCATAGTTTGTTCTATGAGGGTCACTGTGGAGACGCAAGCTCACCTGGTGAAAGGCAAATGCATGAGACTTTGTCTTCCTCCTGCCTTGTCAGCAGCCCGATCAGCAGACATTTAATAAAGGGGATGTCTGTGCAGGGCTGCCCCTGCTTGATCACCAAGTATGATGTGACCTTTGTTAAGTTTAGGTTGCCTCTGCATTACTCGTAATTGCTTTACCTGTATGAGTTGGTTTTCCCCGAGTCCATTCAAATTAGGACCTTCCTGGCTGGAATTCTGTACATATCCTCTGCCTACCACTGTTAAAATACCAAAAATGATCAAAGGTTTGCATATTTCTTTATGAGCTGGGCCTGTAATTTAGTTCAGCGTTTGCTAATACAGGAGAACACATTTATCTGGGATAGGAATTTAGTTTTACCTCCCAACACAAAGGTAAGGCTCAGGTGGATGGTGAATTTGCTTCTACTGAAATCAGTGGAAGAGATGTCAACAGCTTTGCTGAGCTAGGACAGGATCTTTATAGGCGAAAATTCAGGGCACTGACGCTATGGAAACACTGCCAGTTATTTCAGTGGCTGGGGGCCTGAACCCTGACTCTGCGCTGTGTGCAATTCTGCATTGCAGCTATATGCATTAAAAACACATTGAAATGCTAATAAGCGACTGTGATACTAATGTCAATATACCTTAGGCAACCATGAATACTGCAGTTAAGTGCTTTTATGTATTTTAACTCTTAATTGTATAGGGCTTTGGGACCTTGTTAAGTTTGCTTTAAATGCCACACTTCAGTAAGCAGTCAAGAAATGACTGGCAGTGCTTACCTGTACACCAGTACCTTATCCATGCGTAATGTATGACCCTGCTGCTGTAATAGGTGAGTTAAGGTGTTGCGTTTCCTTTTGTTTTGTTTTTAAGCAAAGAGACTTTGCCATTAGCAAAAGCAGAGCTCCTAATACTGATTATGCAGCTCTATCCATTCTCCAAGTTTCTTTAGTTGTTTTTTGCTTTGTATGTATGTATATGTTTCCCAGCAGTCAGTGAAATGGTTAGCTTGACGGTACAAGGAAAACACTAACAAACAGAAAAGGAAATGTCATCCAAAGGGGAAGCCAACAACTATGGAAAATACATGTAAGGCCTCTCCTAGGTATACACTGTTAGAAAACTAAATACGTGCAAGAGTAACTTATATTTTTTTCTCTCAATCATGCTGTCAAGCAGCTGTATTTTGAAAAGGGTTTTTTTTTTTTTTTGCTCCTTTAATCACAGTATATGAAAAGAAAAAAGTTTAAGACATAAGGCTAAAAATACCTTCTGTAGTATACCGTACAGCAACAGAATGATGTCTAAATCAAGAAAACACTCCTTAGAAATTGTTCCAAGGTTAAAGAAAGATTCCTGTGGAACTTGTGAAGATGTCAAGTTAGTTAGTGTCATGTCTAGTTTGGAATAACAGATGTTCTTAAAGGAAATTAGCTTTTGTTGTCATAAAATGCACGCGCGTACGCGCGCGCACACACACACATATATGTGTTCACATACACTTGTTTACGAAATAAGCAGTTTTCTCCATATATGTGTGTGTGTGTGTGTGTGTACATATATATACACATGCACACAAACACATATATACATATATTGTTATGGCTTTAAGTTTCACATTGCAAAGAAGAGTGAGGCAAAGACCAAAGACTTATAGAAATTCATCCCTTCCCTAGTTGCCCTCACCCCTGAAAGGCACTAAGTGTAATGGTGCTTTTTGGACCTGGGCAGGAAGAATACAGGTTTATTGTATGGCTGCATTTGAGAGAATAAAGCGGCAGGAAGATTCTAACTTTGTTGATGAGGAGAAAAGGAAATAGTGTGAAATTCTTTAAATGTGTACAGAAGGCAGGGATGTCTGGAATTTGAAACATGAAGAAATATGGTACAGCATAAGAATTTTAAAAGATGCTGTCCCAAGCTGAAAGCATAAATAAACCAAATAAATATTATAATTGGCTGTTCACTTAACTGCACTCAAGCAGTAGCAGAGGAGGCACTCTGGCAGTGTTGGTGGCACTGTGGTGGATTTATCGAGAAGAGGCATGGTGCGCTCAGGCTCCATTTCAGTGACAACAGTAGAAAAACTAGCGAGACTACTGTAATAAGGCCATCTGAATCTTTAGTCTTAAAGAATTCATAATTACCCTGCTCAGTATAGAAATGTAACTGCATCATAATCCTTTCATTTTGAAAGTACGTACAATGAAAACAAAAACGTTAGCAGCTCTGCTCCTTTTTTTTTTAGAGCTGACATTTTCAATTTGGAAATGTCATAATCCAGAAGGCACCTGAGCAAATGTAGGGAGCATTTCTGTAAAGTGCTAGCAATCAGCAGATCAGGACTTTTCAAATCTGAAAACAACAGCTTTTTTTATCCCCGTTGTCATTGTTGTAGAGGAGTGCAATCACAGTAACATTTAAGTTTTCCCCACTTTAACCTTTTTCATCAATTCTAAAACTGCTGTGTAATATTTTGGTAGCCAGTATTCTGCCCACACTGGGCCACGTTCAGGTGGTCTGCATCCCCCAGATCCCTGATCCTGGCATTTCTCGTGCCTCTGAAGACCAAAACCAATGAGCAGGATGCATGGGGCAGTGGCACTTAAGAGAAATTAGGCCTTCTGCACAGAAGTTGCAATGTTTTCACAGCTGATGTAGCCAAGTCTATGGCTGTGACTGGAGCAGAGTTAAGCACTGATGAACAGATTATTCAAGCAAGAGTAGAGTGAATTAAATAAGGCAGGCAGAAGAGAAAGAAAAGAAAAGATAACAAATATCACCCGCATCACAGTAATACAACAAACATCTTTGCTTGCAATATTATATTTTAAATGATTATTGGCCATTTTACTAAATATGGTAGCAACTGTATTTGATCTTGCGTGGTTCATGGTGGAATTGTTGTTGCTGAAACCACTTACAGCTTAGGCTGTTTTTTAAGATTGCTAGGGTGTTGCTTCCATCCACAATAACCACAGTGGCTTGAGGCTTGGAAAGAAATTACAGTGAAGAGCTTGCGTTTAGAAAGCTTTTAACTACTGAGGTTGAAATGCGCACAGTTATGCACATACAGCCCTGAGGCTTTATCATTTAAGACTTTCTTGTCCTGCCACTTGAATTGTATTGTGCCCTTGTGAACAGTGACACATTTTCTTTATACAGGAAAAGATGGATATTTAAAGCTGCAAGATTTTTATCTAAAGTGAAGAAGCAAATGCAATCAGTGCATACCACTGAGATTTCCCATCCGAGTCACTTTAAACTAGAGATGTGAGTCGCTTAAAAATTAATTTGCTACAAGTGTAATTCCTGCCGGAAAGCTATCACTGTTGTCGCTCTGAGGAAATGTCTCACCTTATCACAGCTCAAAGTGCTGCGGTGGCTGTGAGTTTCTGTCACAAGCCCACTGGTAGGTCAGGAGCAGTGCGCTGCCTCTTCGGAGGAAGCTGGAGCTCCTTTGGGGCAACTGGTTGCCGTGAACAGGGTGAGCTGTTTGTTCGTTTTTAATCAGTCTTAAAAATGGGAAGGGTTTGTCCACTATGGAACTATACACAGTTCTATGTTTGTCTTGCATTTAATTTGTTTAATTTTTCTGCCATAAAACAGAAAGCAGAAGAGGGAGAGATTTCTACGTAAGTGTTGTATTTGTGGTATATCCTGCTGCCAAAAGCTTAAGATAAAGACTTGCAGCCTTAGGAAAAAAGGTCTTTTTTTCTAAGATAAAAAAGACACTTTGGAGCCTTTCATCGAGTTCTTCCCCAGTGGAAAGTCTCACCGTTTGTAACACATTTGCCATTATAGGAATTGGTCCATGCTTAGGTCATGTGCATCTTTGCATGTAACAAGAATTTAAAATTGCATTATACTCTCACATTTTTGCCCCATTCAAAAGGCTTAACTGCTGATAAGAGCTAAAGCTTCCTGAAGCCTGCTCCTGCTAAATGCATTATCATTTTCTAAAGCAATGCAGTTGCTTTGGTTTTTAAACATTTCCTCATAATGGAGTCCTTGAAGCATCTTGAGGCAGGCTCACTGGAGAGCAAAAGAATAATTATTTGTAGGCGGTTCTATTTTTATCAAAGGCTGGATTATGGTTGAAAAAATGCTGCTGTTAGAGTTCCTCCCACACTTAGTTAGCTATAAACACCACCTCCACCAATGCTGTAACTAGCTTTCTTACAGGATAGCTGCCAGTGGAGGAGGGAGTTAGCATCTTTTGCTAAGAGCGAGCATGCCAATTATGTCTTCTTCTGGGCCCTCCTCTGGGTTCGTGCCGCTAACAGCTCTTGATATCAATGCTAGCGATGTAATGGATAATAAAACACTTTGTCAATATTAATGATTTGACCAATTAGATGTATATGAAGTCCTAAATGGTATAAGTAACAGTGATAATTACTAGTCGCTGTCCTAACAAGCCTCTGAACACCTTACAAGCAGCAGTAGTAATGCCAGAAGGTGCAAGGGAGCAGGTCTTAGAGCCAGCTGTGCTTCTGTCCCCGCAATACCTGCATGGAGCCGAGCAGTCCCCCAGGGAGGGCATCCCGGGCACTCTGCCTCTGTGCAGGAAGGCTGTGAGCTGGGGAGGTCAGTGGGTGACTTTGCCCTTTCTCCTTGGTCTCCATCTCCTGGGCAGGCCCTCTGAGCAAGAAACAGGAGCGACGAGTGATGCTGCATTGAGGGACTGGGCTGGAGCAGTGCTGCAGGGCCTCTCGCAGCACAGCGATTTGACTTTATAGCTGATGGAGATGTAAATCAGGATTTGGCTCCATTGCTCACTAGCAGCCCACGCTGGCCAAGTGTTAGGCCTGGAAGATGTTGAGCCGTTCGTGCAACTGGAAGGAGGAGTCTGGCCGCCCTGTTGAAATCCCAGCCTGGGCTCTCCTCAGGGCAACACGGGAACAGGACTTCTCATGCCTCTGGGCTTTCCCCAAGGAAAGGGGCCCAGGCAAAGAGCTGTGGCAAGTCTTCCCGTAGCTGCCAGCTCAAGCTGCTGCCTAACAGCTGAGACGTGTTCGTGCAGCTCTTTTCCTTGCCACTACCACTTGCACGCTGGAGGCAGAGCTCAGCTGGTGCTTGTGCAGGTGGAGCGGAAAGGCCTCGCTGTGCTGAGCCTGGGCTCTGCTGCTCTCCCTCGGTGTTAGATCAGGGCTGTGCTGCTGGCAGCGAGCAGCTGCAAGGCGCTGCTGGAGGCATTTGCCTTCTTGTGCCCTTTTACGGGTTATCGGAGAGAGCGCAGAAGGAAGGCTTAACAAATCCTGCCCTTGCTCAGCAAAGCACAAGCGTGCCAGAAGCCTACTGAAGAGCAGCGCTGAGGAATTGCCATACACTGTGTTTACTGAGGGAGGACTCAGTTGATAGTGTTCACACATGGCTTTCTTTCTGAGTGAGAGCTTTTCCTGAGTAGCGAGCCAGATCTGGATGTGGAGCTGAACGGTGCAGTAGTTTGGGAGCAGGGCTGGGGCTGACCCGCTCAATCTGACTCAGCTCCTTTTCTTTCTTTCTTTCTTCCTTCCCCCTCCCCCTTTTTTTTTTGGCCAGAGCTTATTTTAATTCTTTCTTTGCCTTGCGTGAGTCGTGGTGCTCAAATGCCAGTAGAATTGTTGATGTTAACTCAATAAATGCTCCACATACATAGGTAAAACCAACCGCGAAACAACTTTCTGCTAGGCTTGAAGCCAAACCCCATTCATCTACAACAGCAGCATAAAAGGCATGACCCATATGCTGTAGCAGTTTTCATCCACGATAGTAAAATACCTTGTCTGACCTCTACTCTGATAACAATCAATGACCGTGATAGTGTAAACAGGACAAAATGAAGTTACAATCTCATCACAATTCTCATTAAGAAATTCAGATTGGTTTGGCTATTTTTTTTTTTTCCTTTCTTAATTTATGTATGTGTGTGGTTGTGTGGGAAAATATACAGCTTTTTTTTTTTTGTATCAATAACATCAATCCTTGCACACTCTATGCAAAATTTTGTAAGCATTGCAATAATGCTATGAATTACACAAGGAACTATTTTAACTTTATTACACTTTCTGTATAAAAAAAAATTTGTATTTAAATGATTTCAACTGCAATCTTGTAAAATATATTAATAAAATATTGATTGTTAAGAAGGAAAGAGATGTTGTTCCTTTTTCTTTGAGCATGGCAAACGTGAATCGGCACTCAAACCACCATCAGTCTGTCAGAGCTGCCTGACTGGACCATCATAATGAGCCATTCTGCAGCATCAAATCCCTGGGTAGGTTCGGGCCAAAAAATGCTCCAGAGGCGGCAGTCAGAATCTCCACAGATTGCTGTCAGGAAAAAAAAGGTGCCAACCAAAATTAATCTCCCTTTTGCTAGAGGTTGGGTTACTTTCTTTTTTACAGCTTTATTGAAATTCTTTGCCAGTCTTGCCAGTCCAGCAGCATCGCGGCGCTGCGATCCGACCTGTGCGCCGCGAGCCTTTTGTAGAGGGTCATTGGCAAACACTTGTGAGGGAATTCTGCGGGAACCACGTTTTAAATATGGATTTGTTCACCCTGGATTTTATCAGTAAAGGCGACCGTTGATTGAGGCTCATTATCTGAAAGAACAGCGAGAATTCAGTCATCTAATCGAAAACCTGTGCGTGCCTGCACATGCAGCATACAAGTCCAGCCATCGCAGCTGTGACATTGCCAAAATGCAGATGTTAGGGGTACTTGCTTTGTAGGGGGGGGACCTGTTTACCAGGCTTCAAATAAGTTCACTCGGCTCTGCTTTCTGGACACGCACAGTCTTTCGCTCTCTGGATTTTGGATTGTTTGCCCTTTAAAAAAAAAAAAATCTGTTAGTTGAAGTCCAGCTGCAGTTCTTGGTCTGGATTTGGAATTTTCAGCAAATTACAATGAAATGATGTATGAGAAGCATGGTGCTGGGGATGCCACCGCAACAACACATGAGACACAACTCTCCGCAGCTGAACGGCCAGCGGCCGGCCCGAGGCACGCGGAGCTTCCACCGCCACGGCGGCCAGAGCCTGCCCCACCGATGGCAAACTCACCACCAGCTGTTTGCATAAGCGGTGTGATTTAAGCAGTGAGTAGTTATGAAATTCAGCCATAACGCCAGTATGTTTACAATGCCCCCATGCCAGCAAGGCTAAGTGCGGTACTTGAGAGCAACTGTATCTGTAACCATTTTTGAACGCCTGGGAAGCTGTGGTGAAACAGGATTTCTGCTTTCAAAATTGACTCCCTGGAAAAATCATCAAAATTCAGTTTCTTCCTAGATTTTTGCCTTTTAGTTTTTAAAATGTACTTCCTAATTTTTGCTTGCTTTCCTTTCTCCCTCTTTAGGCAATTTAAGTTAGCTTTTTATTCCTAAATAGCAATAGAAAAAAATAAAGCAAATAAAGGAAGAATTATAAAGGCAGAAAAGAATCAGTAAGTCCAAGTGAGTTGATTTCAAACTTTGTAAAAACGAGCTCATTTTCAACATTTTAAAATTGTATGTGCAACTGGGTTCTTGTGTTTTTCGTCTAAGTCTAGTATGGACAAGTTGCTGCTGCTGAAGTTCAGTTGTTAAAACAGAGCAATTGTTTTTGTGAACAGTGTCCAAAATCAGTGATGAGAAGCATATGTTTTTAGCACTTTTTTCTCCAGTGCTGTAACCTTGATTCGTGTCTCCTTAAACTGAATGGAAAAATGCTCTTGAATTTAGTGATGAAGGCTCAGACCTAAATAGCCCCAATGCCAAATGTCTCCCAGAGGAAAATGATATGCCCCCATTTAATAGAGAGAAAGCAGGAAATCTGGCCAACAGATAGAGCTTCACTGTTCATTTGCAGTCATTTCAGAATAAAAAGCAGTGTGTAAGTAGTTTTTAAGTATTTCATTCACACTGTCAGGGTATTGTAATGTATATTGTAATATACATTACTGATGAGATCTGCAGGTTTTAAAGCCAGGGTCTGTGAACAGCCCATCACATAACAGCTCTGCTTTAGCCCATCATACAAC